TAAATATAAAAATTAATATTAACTTAAAAACAAGCAATTATTTTATAAATAATTAATATTCAATTAAAAATATTTTATATTTTTTATAAAAAAATAACTAATATCATCTAATAGAATAAAATATAGTTTTTGTGGCTGTTGTTGTCATCATCTTCATACCATATCATATGTTTGTTCTCATTATTTTTATCTTAACATCAAAATTATATAATTTTCTAGCCAAAAAAAAATACAGTTGGTTATATTTTTTAGCAAACATTTAAGTAATGTTTGGTAAATAGAAAAAAGATCCTAAAAAATGGAAAATGGATTTATCTCATTTTATTTTTAAATATATTATTAATTTTTTTAAAATATTTTTTTCGTGTACTAACCATGCATTTATATTTTAATAGTGTTAAACTTAAATAGGGATTAGCTCTCTTAAAGTCATTTTGTTTCTCAATAAGATTAAACTCCCTCGATTTTAATTAAGAATCAGTGAGTTCTTTGCATTAATTCAATCAATATTGATAAAACCATTATATACTGAATAATAAAGCGAATTTAAATCTCGTGATCAATATAACAAGCTGAAGGGCAATTCACAAGAACTTTAGTATAAAATAATACCACAATAAACAGCTTGAAAGCTACTCCTCTAATCTTATTTATAAGGCAAAGAAAAAAAAATTGATCATATTTATATGGCACTTGTTAATTTTTAATACTCCTTTTTATATTTTTTTTATTAAATGCTTTGAATAAAAATACTAATGAAATTTAAGAATATTTATTAGGGATAAAAGTAAAAGCTTGTTAAATTTTAAGACTAAGTTTATAAGATTTAAGGTTTTTCTTGGTTTTCATGAAACATGCTGAAAGTGACTTATAAATAGGATAAAAGGAAATAAATGAGATAATTTAAAATAAAAATGATAATTTTATGAGAAATATTTAGGTGGATCGGGTGCACCACTACAAACATATCATTTGTAGTCTATCCAATAAAAATATGACATTTAAATAACATTTAATATAAATTGATTCTAATATTAATAATAGTAAGGAAAGAAAAGGCAAGAAATCAAATATGCATTCTATTATAAAAGTAAAATCAATTTTAAAAATATCACACAAAATTTTATTTAAATTACTTAAAATATTTTATTTAAATAAATAATAAATAACGTGATACATTTAATTTATTTAAGTATTTCTCTAATTTTATAAAACTTACCCATTCAAATACGTTAAGATAATGCAACAAAAAAGCTCAATGATTGAAAAAAGCTCCACCTAATTGATAAATAGGTTAATTAGTTATTCTTTTTGTTAAAAAATATAAAATTTTTTTAAAAAATTAAATATTTAAAAATATAAAATATTTTTAACCTTTCGAAGTGTAATATTTATTTTTAATAAAAGTAATTTTATTAATAATAACTTCATATTTATTAAAAGATATTTAATAGAGATAAATATAAAAAAATAAAGTTAATTAAAAAGTGAGTAATTATTTTATTAAAGATAAAATTTAATTGAAAATATTTTATATTTTTAAATCAAAGAGTGGCAAATTGCTTTTATTGGAACAAACCGTCAAAAGTGAAACATGACTAACCACGCAATAGTTGTCACGTATGTGCCTTAGTATCATCAATCGTTATCATTATTCTTTTACGTTCTGCTTAAGGATCAAGAGTTAAATATGTTTTTACTACCACTATTATTTAAATTTTGACAAATAAATATTTTTCATTTACAAATTAAATTTTGAGTCAAGTTTGATTTAAAACAAAAAAAAATGACTTTTTTAGAAATTGTATAGTAATATAAAAAATTATATGGTATTCGATATTGCTAATTTAAAGTTGATATTTTTGAGCTTCCATGGGAGCAATTTCTCCCTCGTAATTTTTTTATTTGCAAAATTTGAACTCTTATTTTAACTGGTTTATTTAACTATTGTGGGTAACAACAATATTATTTTCTGAGCACTGTAAAAGTAGTAAAAATGATGTCGAAAATATTGACTTAAATTCTGAAAAAATAATTTACAATTTCAGTCAAATTAAAAATAACTTGATAACATAATTAGAGAAAATATATTTTTTATATATCATATAACATAATATAAAAGGGTTAATGATATGACAAAAACTATGAAAAAAATAGTCCATTTATTTTTATTTGATTGAAGAGCAGCACTTAACGTAACTTTAATCAAATGATAATTTATAACTATCTAATATTTGATATTGTTAACAAATTCAAAATCAAATACCATCAAGTTTAGATATAAGAAACATTTCTTCCAACCTAATTTTCTGCCTTTAATGTTTGAACATTTCACCTTATTTTAGACATATCGAGTCAATTCAATTATCCTAACCACCAATGGTTAAGTATATAAATATTTTTCTTATAAAATAATATGTAAACAGATATGTTTTTCCATGTATTACATAGAATATGAGATGAGTAAAAAAAACATGAATCCTGTTACTTATAAACTATGAATATTATACATTTAAATATTAATTTATATTTTACATTAATATGTGTGTTGTTAAATAAATATAACGAACTTTTTAATGTGTAAAAAATATTAAAATATTATTTTAAAAAATCATGGAACAAGAGTACATGTGTTCATAGAATTTAATATTACAAAATTAGTTGGCAATCAGTTGGCAAATCTTTAACCTGTTTTTAACAAGAAGCTTGTTGATTTTACAAGTCATGTAAAGAAAATCTGTCTAGTCTCTTCATCAATGTGACCGCTCTTTATTGCAGATAGTTTGGGAGTTGGGTTTGCTTCTCCCAACCTTCACTCCTAAGAGATTTGGACCGTACAAATTAATTTGAATGTAAATTTAATATTTATTAAAATAAAATATTTATAAAAGTTATACAAATTTTTAATAAATCTGATCATCAATTTAAATAATCTACATTTATATTACAAAAATAAAAGTTATAAAAGTGATAAAAAATTTTAATATTAAATTAAACTATTTAGAATAAATTTATATTATTCAGATTGATAATAAACAGATTTATTAAATTTTTTAAACTTTTATTTTGATAATATAAATGTAAACTGTCCAAATTAGTGGTCAGATTTATTGAAATCTTTTATAACTTTTATAAATATGAAATAAAAATTAAAATTAAAATATTAAATTTGAACCCTTTAAATTAATCTGGACGGTCCATATTTTTTCCCTAAATGGGAGGAGCTGCAGCGAAGCGAAGGTTAGGAGGAGCAAAGCTCACTTTGACATATTGCTCACATACCTTTACGGGTCAATTGTTTTGTTTTAAACCCTTTTACTTTTAAGTTTTAAGTTCATATTCAATATTAAATATTAATATTCCACTTATTAGGAAACACCATGGGATTTATTGTACCTTTTATCGTATTTTTAGGTAAATGAATAAATGTTGAATTGCTTGTGCGTTAAGTTTCAAATAATAATTTAAATATTAAGATTTTTAATTTTCCACCTAATGGGTGTAGGAATCTTTTTTACTTTAACATGACTTGATTTGTCATCATTTTATACAAACTTTTTCAAGACATTGTATTAAGAAAATATTAATAACCCATAGCAATGCGAGTATATATATAAAAACTTGAATTCTCATGGATAAAAAATATTTTCTATTATAAAATAAATAAATTAAATTAACTTATTTAATTTAATCAATTGAAATACAGAATTTTTATTTTTAAATCTGAAATATTTTTTAATTATAATAAAAAATTATTTCTATTAGGATATTTAAATAGATTATAATAAGCCAGTGCACCACACCCTTCCTCATTTGCCGTTTTATCCATAATATATTTCCTTTTTTTTTATTTTTTAAACCACATACTTGAACCAGCTTCAAATAACCATTTTCTTTGTAGATTTTACTTCAAAGTATGCTGATCTTACTATTTAAATATTATTCCCATTGACCATAAACGTTATTATCATTGGATGGTTTTCTTGTTAATAATTAGTAAAATTTTTTGTTAAGATTCACTTTATGTTTCTCAAAAGTCATAGGAAAGAAGAATTATCTCTTCACTGGAAGATACGATTTTCCCGTAAATTTCACATATTGTGGTATATGTTTGCCATTTTTATATAATTATATAATTTGATTTTATTATATTTAATTTAAAATTTAAAAATTACCAATAGCAAAGTAAAAGGCAAGAAAAGAAAGGCGAGGGTGCTCAAATAAAAGGCAAATAGTGGAAAAATGACAGTTATGTATTAGAACACTAAATTATTGAAGATTAAGTATTCAATTTCTTTTTAAAAATAAGTTAAAAATATTGATAATTGAACTTCAAATTTAAAAGTTTTGATTACAAATAGATATTTAAGTATGAAATATAATTCTTATATAATTTTTATAATTATTTAAATTGATATTTATACCTTATTTTAAACAACATTGAGATCTACTCCCTCAATCCTATATATAAAATTTTTAAAATATTTTTTATTTTAAATATAAAAAATTATTAACATATTTTTTAGTGAATGAATTATTATATTCTTCTTAAAGAAAAGAAAAAGATAAGTATTTTTATTAATTTATTTTTTGTTAAAAATTTATTTTTTATTTAAATAATTAAAGATAAAATTAAAATGTTACTATATTTTTAATTAGATAATTTATTTTTATTAATTTGTGTGATTTAAATAAAAATATCTTGTATAAAGATGGAGGGAGTAATTGTTATTAATTCAATGTTTTGGGATGTATTTGCAATTGTTGCTTGTAGATTTAGCAGAAGTCCACGTGTCATCGTTTGGTTAATCTACATCTGGCGTGTCGCAGATTTTCAGCATAAAATAAAGCGCCACCAAAACAATGAGAGAGAAACTCGGATGGGAGAGAAACAAAAGCCCAGAACGGGAGCCAAAGCACAACACGACAAAACAAAACTGCAAGTGAGCCACCCCCATTGATAAAATAAAACCCCCACACTCTTTCTTCTCTTCTTCTTCTTCTTCTATCCTCCCCCCCTCCCTCCCGCGTGTTGGAGTCTCGTAATTCTTTCGATTGAGGTTTCCACATTCCAGGACTTCTTTGATTCCTTGGTCTGTACCTTTTCTTCTCCTTCGATTCTCCGATGCTCGCGACGCTTTGTTCGGAATGTGAAGAAGGTAAGTCAATGTGAACATTTTGGTCTCTGTTTGATTACTCTGGAATCTGAATCAAATGCATTATATGAGCGGTTGTTTTACTCTGGAATCTGAATCAAATGCATTATATGAGCGGTTGTTATGGAGTTTGTCCTTTTGCCTGTCAATTTTGCGTAAAAATGCCATGAAACCGAGGCAAATTTTTAAAAGAAGCAACCGAGAATCTCGTGTGACCTGTAAACTTCACTCATGGACTATGCTCCCGGAAGCGGAACAATGTGCGTCAAATGAAATGAGTGAAGGTACAGTCACGGATTTTGAAATCGTTACTTTTTTGCTTTGGCTGTAAATCAAACGGAGTTTTAACTAAAACTTTCGGTTTAATTATATGCGCCTTTTCTTTGGCTGACTGCTGGTGTTTCGAGAGAAGCAGGTAGTGCTGCCTGAAGATGTGTATGTTGATAGCTTTTGATCTCCTGAATCATGGAAGTTAGAAAATGGACCTTAGCAAGTCGAACCTTTCTTTTCAGGATTGTCGAAGCTGCCTCACACTGCATTCTATTCAATTCGAAAAAGCCTGCCCTTGTAAGGGAGATGAGTTATAGAAGTTTCCTCCTCTTATTGTGAAGTTGTCGATGTTGGTTGATTCGGCTTCCCGATTTCTTAAAACCGATATTAACGTTCGATTGGGATGTGATTTTTATTTTGTTGCTTTTTTGCAGTTCTTCTGAAAGTGTTGTTTCAATATGAATTATAATAGACCAATGGAGGTCCATTACATAGATACGGGCTTTCCTTACACTGTTACTGAAAGTTTCATGGACTTCTTTGAAGGCATCACGTATATGCCAGCAAATTGTCTCCACACTGGATCCATGCCTGATCAGGTTTTACTGACATCCTTCCCTTTTTTATGTCAAAGCTCTCCCGTTCTCTCATTAAATTAAATAAATGCACATTGTAGAATGTGATAATGGATGTAAGTTATTTTGGCTACAAGGCTTAGTTCCATACCATCCATGCATGAATTGGCCCTAAAAACACTACCATAAATAGCAACTATGAGTGATGAGGAATGAGAAAACTACTGTTTAATCAGTTCTATGTATAGTTCTTAAATGGCTATAAAATAGCGATTCATGATATGATTAATATTAAGGGTAAGATATGAGAATAAGTTAGGGCTGTTCGGTTTTTTTATAGTTTAAATTAGTAGTTATCTAAGGGCTTAGGATTACTTGGATTGATGAGATATTTTAGTGTCCTCTTTCTCCCCCTTAAAGTTTCCTCTCCCCTACTTTCTTCCTGTCCTGTACGAGTGCCTTGTTGTAGGAAGCCAGTAATTTGTTTTTCTTAAATTGAAGTCTAGTCTTGTAAGTAGTGCTAATTGATAAAATGAGTGAAAATTCATCTGTATTTAACGGTTTAGCACAAGAAAGCTCGGCATATAAGTGGGAAGTGTTGCTTCTTTGAGTTCAGCTGCTTTCATATATGGATGATGTTGGATTGGAAGCTATTCCGTGATGCTATAACTACCACTGCATTGATTTGATGCTCCCAAAAATTATCTGAGTCATTTTATTACCGCCTATTAGTATTATCCCTGTTACTTCCATAACTTCAATTGTTTTGTTCAGTTGAACATATCATGACATTTTGTCAATTATCAATGCTGTCTGCGCAGGAAAGTGCCAACTGGATGATGAATATGAGCCCATATAAATATGACATGTCTGGCCCTTTGTGTCCATCATATTTTGGTTATCCTGAATATATCCTTCCCTTACCAAGAGTGGAGGTCTACAGGGGACAGTGGGAAAACCCTTCAACAATGACCGTTGAGGAACCTGCTACAACAGACACTTTTTCCAGGGGAGATGGAGTTGCTGGCATGCAGACTATACCTGAAGAATGTTGGTTCAAGCTTTTTGTTTCATTTTTACTATGTGCATAAACTAATGATCAGATGGGCCAGGACTTCCAAATTTTCACATTTTAATCATAATAACTTAATATTTTGAAAATTTTATGATAGCATAAATGTTTTTGGGTTTTCTTTTGCAGGCAGCCCAAATCATCAAGACGCCACTAGTACCCAGGTAGGTAGCTCTCTTGTCAATAGGGCTGATTTGAGGCCGTAAGTAAGTAATTTCTTATTATATTTAACTGTTTCTAAGGTATGAGCACTGGGACCCTATAATTGAAAAACAGAATACAATTAATGGTTGGTTGAGCTTGGCATTGCAAACTTCCATCACAAATCATATCTGATCTATCCAGCTCCTACACTTGTTCAAATGAATTATTTGTTTATAAATAAAACTTTCATTTCTTACAAACTTGGGGAGTTGAAATTAAATCATGAGATCCACATTAGAACTATGCAGTCAAGACTGTCCTAGATTGACAATGAGAATGCATACAGAGCTATTGTATGCTAAACAACCTGTTAGTTCTGTAGCATAATTCCAATAAATTGGAAGATCATGATAGAGCAGGTACCAAAGAATGTGGCCTTTCAGTTATTATTCCTTACCTTGATCTGTCACTATTAACAGACAATTATGACATTTTTAAATGATTCTACGTGATGAAAATTTTAATTCTCATCGTGATTCCTATTTTTAAATCCTTTTTTTCCTTTTCTATGCCTTTGCTTATTCTCATCCTTGATGTCTGATTTTTTAGCAAAAAAAAAAAAAAGGCAGTGATATTATCTACTTATTTTTCTTTTTACAAATCTGTGTTTTTAGGTTATAAAGCTAGGCGTTGTCAAGATAATTCAATAGTTTTGTGATGTTTATAAACAAATTAAAATAATGTCATGAATAAGACACAGGAATTCTCTATACTGATTTTTTACTGTGTATACTTTCTAAATCACTATAAGCTCCAGAAACTTGAATTTTGTTTACCAGAAATAAGATAAAGGAGATAGGGTTGCAGTTCAGTAGTTCAAGCACTTAATTTCTGCAACATTTCAACCCTTACTACTATCTACAGTTTTCACCTTGTAACTTGAAAAACAAAACCTGGATCTAACTTTTTGTATTAGAGACAAGTGTCTAATTGATGTGATCCAATGATGAGAATTAAGGGACGATTCAAAATCGAATATTTAGTACCTTTGATCCATCACAGGGTATTTGAGGACCAATGATTAGATTCAGAGCCAAGAGGATGAAAGAAGCCTTAAATTTATTAATTAGGGATGTCCTATATGATCAAGGAGTCTTTAAGGCAAATGGAGTTTTAGAAAACCTAAGAAAAACTTTTAGCATGGGCCTAATCCAAGATATTCAAGCCCATGAGTCCAATTAGTTTAGTGAATATTCTTTCTTAAATTTAGGGAATCAGTTTATCTTATTCAAATTTTAATTTAAGAAATTAGTTTATCCTATTTTTAATTTCAAATTTAAATTTAGGAAAATAGTTTATTTTGTCTTAATTTCAAATAAGGATAAAATATATCCGTTAAGGATATGATCTATCTCTTTAGAGTTCTGAATTAACCAGGATTGCATCATTTTTAGGTTTTTAGAAGTCTATGTAAACAGTTCAGCCTTTTGTATTTTTAAAGACTTGATTGCCATGTAGGATGCCATTTTGGATGTCACCTAAGATGATATCTTGGGTGCCAACTAGGTTGCCGCACAGGATCACATCACTAACCCTTTATTGTGCATTACCTGCAGGTTGCATGGCAGCAAGACAGCATCGATCCTGATAATATGACTTATGAGGTGTGATGCAAGTATTTGTACATTTATATGGCTTTAATTTTTTATTTAATTTTATTTCTTCTTTCAAACTTTCTCTTCAGCTATTCAATTATTATGTCTAATTTTTGTGGCACAGCTAGATGCCATGTCGTAGCCTTGTGGGAGTGAGATTAGGTAGATAGCATGAGAAATTCCAGGCATTAAGGTCCCAAAGTTCTCAATTTTTCTGGAGAACCCTGCATATTCAGTTGTTTAATCAAATCTTTTAATTGGTTTTACAGCATAACACTGTTTAGGAAACTTCTCTTTTATATACAAATGAAATATATCAAAGGGTGAAGGTGTTAGTCATTGTTTGATGCGAAAACAAATCTGATCTAGTTTTAAGCTATATAAAAATGCCTATGGTTTTAGAAACAGGGTTTGCACGAATAAAGATAAAATTTGAAATATTTATATATGAGACAAAGTGGGCGTGACATCTATTAAGGGGAGATAGTAGAAAATCATTTAAAATGGTTTGGTCATGTTTAGAGGTCATAGGGGGCATTGGTAATGAGAGTGGAATGAATAGCCTTGAGCCCTGAAAGGGTAGAGGAAGATCAAAAAGAATACTCATAAAAGTTATTGAATGAAACCTCTTGGAGTTAACAATATTTCTAGGGTTAAAGGTCATTTTGGTCCCTAAGCTATACACAAAAGGTCACAAATGCCCCTAAATTCAATTATGGCCATGGGTCAATTCTGTCCTTCAACTTCAAAGATTCCTTTCTTTATCATTTGAGATGGTTTGGTTATGTTTAGAGAAGGTCAGAGGGGGCATTGGTGATGAGAATGAAATGAATAGCCGTGAGCTTTGAAAGGGTAGAGGAAGATAAAAAAAATACTCATAAAAGTTGTTGAATGAAACCTCTTGGAGTTAAACAATATTCCTAGGATTAAGGGTCATTTTTGTCCCTGAGCTGTACATAAAAGGTCACAAATATCCCTAAACTCAATTATAGCCATGGGTCAATCTTGCCCTTCAACTTTAAAGATTTCTTTCTTTATCACCTTGATATTTTCTCATTGTTAGTTGACCATTAGTAAACCTCACATTATATTTTTTAATATTATTTTTATTATAAAATATTTGAGTTGATAGCAAAAAATGACCTTTCAACTAATGAAAGATATTAAAAAAATAGTAAGATCCACTGATGAGTAATGAACGTTAAGTGTTTTTAACGTTAGGGTAATGACAGAGGGAATCTTTAAATTGAGGGACAAAATTGATTTATTGTTGAATTTAAGGACATGTATGACCTTTCGTATACGATTCACAGTCAAAAATGACTCTTAACTATTATTGTTAAAAGCTTGGTTAATAATAAAGAATAATGATATCATTCAATCCATGTAACCAACCCTATCTAGTGAGATTGAGACTTGTCGTTATTATTGTTGTTTAGAAACATGGTGTTTTTAATAAGATGCAGAAAGTTTTCGTTAAGGGGAAGACCTCCTTTGAGAAGGGTGAAGTTGGACTTGGTGATTTGCCTATGGTAATTTATTAATCTTTTAATTATATATTGCAGGAATTACTGGACTTGGGTGAGGCAGTTGGAACTCAAAGCAGGGGCCTTTCCAAAGAACTTATTGATCTTCTTCCAGTCTCAAAGTACAAGTTCAGAAGCATGTTTAAAAGAAAAAAATATGGGAAAAGGTAAATTCCTGGTTCTCTTCTTCTTTCTGAATATTTGACAATGTGGCGAATGAAATATGTGGAATATAGGGGTGAAAGTGATCTTTCCTTCTTCGGGAGGCTGGGTTAATATGGTGGTAGCACAAAAAGTGAATATTTAACTTTCAAATGTTATGCAAATTTCATTTATTAAGAAGTTGGAACGAAAGTGAAGCGAGTATTTTGACATGAACTTTATATTTGTAGGTTAACCGTTTGGTTAAAATATTGAAGTTTGAGAAACTTCACAATAGTCACTTTGCATTTCTCTCAATTTCCTTGACATTTAAACAAGAGAGAAAAAGAATTTTTCCCCTTTATCCTATTTTGTTTCCCCTTCCAATTTCCCCCCCCCCCCAAACACTTTCATTTTGCTAGGCTTAGTTTAGATTCTTTGCTGCGTTGACTGAGTTAGATACTGCCATCTACGGGGATATATTGACTGTACATTTACTATGGTGTTTTCCATTTCCTTTTTTAATCAGGATCCTGGATCAACAGAGCTTCTTGCTTTCTGTGTGACTCTAGGAAGATATACAAAGTCCCCCTCCCTTATTTTTCCTTTTTCTTCCCATTTATGTCTGAGTCTATTATCTCCTTCTCAAGTTCATTATTGGGTAATGGCCAAAACGCATGAAAAGCAGGTGTGTGATTTGTCAGATGACATACAAAAGAGGTGACCAACAAATGAAATTGCCATGCACGCATGTTTACCATAGCGAATGCATCTCCAAATGGCTTAGCATTAACAAGGTCAGTCATATTGATGCATCTATTAAGGTACACTTTCCCATGACAGGAAAAATTGTACCTTTTCCAAAGGACGAATTTTCTGATGTCTTTATTTTTTTTTAAATCAAAATATAGCTAGCGATTTTTTTTTTTAATTCTTTCGTCTAAGAAAAAATGCAGTTTTATACCATTCACCTCCCAATGTCATTAATATGTAACACTGTACCTTTTTTTTTTTTTTTCCTTTTTGCCCACCCAAATTCTCTCTACTCATTATATGCAGTTATAACCTTGTTTTGTGATATTCTTTTCAGAAATGCCCGGTTTGCAACGCTGAGGTGTTTTGCGAGGATTCAAGGAATTAGCATTAAGATGCTGTTAACAGAAGAAATTTGGAGGCTTCTCTGCTCTATTACCCCCCCCCCTCTTTTCTTTTCCTATCTCATTTTGCCCCCCCCCCTCTTTCATTAGAAATCTCACTACACGTAGGTAGGAACACTAGAAAGAACTCAGCCGCTACATTTTATGTAATAAATATTCTCTTCACTAGAGACGTCCGTAACAGTCGCATCTTGTGGTGGTTAATGAAATTTGAGTGATGTAAACTATGTCTGTTCTTTTATTCCTCAGACTCTCTCCTTGCCCGAGGTTTCTGCTTCACATTGATTCAATGTACGTATAACATTTTGAGTTATATGTATGCTTAATATAAACTAGAGTCAAAAGTTAAAGACTAATTGTCCTTCACTTCTTTTGAATTTTAGTTAAATTACATATGATGAGTTTCAAGTTTCAAGAAATTGAGTCCAGATAAAACGCATTAAAAAAAAAAACAGATAAAAACATGAATTAAATTTAGTATTTTTGTTTTGTTGTGTAATGATAAAAAATAATTCAATTTTGCTTTTAGCCTTAAAAATTTATTAAGTAGATAGAATTTTGTATGTATTAACATGAAGTGATATTGATGGCATCATCGCGCATTAGGGTCATTATTTTTTATTATAATTTAAAAAATATTGTCTTTTAAATTAAGAAAAATGATAATAAAATTCTTTCGAATTATATAAATGACAATCTAATCTTTTAAAATGTTATATTTTTAACAAAGTTCTCAGAGACTTTTGTGGTAGTAAATTTTAAAGTGAACAGATTATTTAACTTTTATTAAAAATAAAAAACTCTAATCATAATTTTTATTCTATAAATTATAAGAATTGAACATAAGATTATAATTTGTTAAATGTTATTTTTATTATTGAAAAATAAATTTCAATCACAACTTTTGCTTAAAAATTTATAAAAATTGAGTAAAAAATTACAATTTATCAAATATAATTTTTATTATTAAAAAATAAATATTTAAAATAACAAACTTTATTCATACTTTTGCTTAAAGAATCATAACTTTCATTACAAAGCATCCAAGCAATCTGAATAAGAATATACTTTTGTATATCTCTTATTTCAGCAGATCGTAAGCCCAAGAATAATACTAATCAACTCTGCAATTGCTGGTGGAACTGAATTCATTTTGCCACAGTTTCGAGTCTAACCGCTCCATCACCAAGTTCACGTCCGTTGCTTCTATTATAAGTAAACAGGGAGCATTTTTGAATGTGATCTTGGTCCATACAAGCTATAAAGAAAAATGATAATGATAATGTTGCATTACGATTTTCTACAGGTTGTTCAGAAACAAAAAGCCTTTTGCAACTGGTAACCCAAATATCTCGACACAGATAACCCAATAGAGTACTCCGCTAAATTTTCTTTGTTTAGTTTTGACCAGCGTCATTTGTCAGATTCCATTTAACATAAGAAAGTTGTCGATAGTTCTGGTTCGACCATCGTTTTCCACTGATCAGCTACACTCGGACAATCTCTGAGCAGGTGCAATGAATCTTCAAGTTGATTACACCCCTCTGTCCAAGGGGCAGCAACTTAGCCTATCATGAGTGAACAGCCACATGAAGGTTTTATGATTTTAGTTAAAACCACACATGGACGCTTTCCCGTAAATGAAATAGCTCAGGTAATTGTGCTTTTAGTTAAGTTAATTTTTTTTTGGAAAATTGATAATAACGTCCCAAAATTTAGATTTTATAATAGTTAAGTCCGTAATAAAATTTTCTGAAAAATAAATTACAAATATTAATTCCAACAAGAATTCCAAGTGTAAATTAAAAGTTATATTTAAAGTTTAAATGTCTTGTTTATAATTAGAACTCCTTAATTTATGACTATTTGAATTAATATTTACAACTTATTTTTTAAAAAATTTTGTTGGAAACTTAATTGTGATAAATTTATTAGTTTGAGACTCTAATGTCATTCTCTCTATTTTTGTTCAAAAAAAAAAATCAAATTAGGAGACGTGGATTTTTTTACACATTGCTTAACTTGAGATTAATTCTTGTTATGAACACTTTTAATTTAGTTTTACATTCAACATTCACTTATTCTAATTTAATTTTTAGCTTAGAATTTTCAGTTTTCTTACATATATGTTTTATGTTAAATTTATTTTTTTATTTACCTTCAAAATTTATTTCGTTTTTAAATGTTGAATAAGAATAAAATTATACTTTTTATATTATAAAATAAAATGTGCTTATAAAAATGTATATAAGAATTTTTTTTTGCAGTATATGTGAACTGTCATAGAAATGTAATCATATTCTTAAAGACAAAAATTATTAATTAAATCAAAAAAATATTTTTTATTTTATTTAAATAATAAGGAAAACAGAAAAAGCCTAGTCGATAGATTTAATTATTTAATATTTATCTCACCGAACTCACCTTTTCGTTTTTTATGTGTGTGAACTGCGAAGTTTAGTACTTCGAGTTGTGACAATTAAACTTTTTTACATTATTTTCTCTTTTATTTCACAGACACCATAACTGAGAAGAATTCTTGTTCATTATTATTTTTAAAAGAATACTAAAAAAGTCAATAAAACAATATTTTTCATATCATGTTTACTGATGGTGAGCTTGAGATCAAGCTCAACAAAACTTTTTTACATAAAAAATAATTAATTAATTTTATAAATAATAAAAATACAATATAAATTGCAGTTAATATTACGTTTTTTTTTTTTGACCAGCTAATATTAAGTATTAATAGTGTAACATCTCTTATATTTCCTATTTTGTACAAAAATATTTGCAAATTGCAATCAAATGGAAGCCAGCTATCTGGGTGCAGCACGCCTAAAATAAATCCGTTTGCACCAGAACAAAACTCAGTAAGCTAGTCAATGTGACTACCAAGTCTCTAACGGTCGGAGAATTTAGTAACACCTATTTTCCCAACGTTCACTCCCCGCCTTCCTCGATCCCCATAACGGTTACATTTACACCTTTCTCTCTCCCATTCTGGCACTCCTCAGTCTCTCTCTCTCTCTCTCTCTCTCTCTCTCTGAACTTCGCTCGCTGCAGCAACCCGCTAGCTGAATTTTTGGGTCTCCTTCATACCCTCCCCCTCTCTCCTCCTCACTCTCACTGTCTTTCTTCCTTGTGTGAGTAATGGAACCTGCGAAGATCGACTGGAAGAGACTGGAGTGGCACTTTGTAGAAGACGAAAAATACGAGCACATTAACGCACCGAAATGGGTCGATTTCTTGGCCCCAGACCAATCCGTGGACGATGAGGACTGGTTTTGCAGACCCGGTTAGAATTTGCGTCTCTCCTATGATTCTTTTACGTTATTTTCTTAGATTTTGCTTTTTCTTCAATGGGTCTTGGTGATATGGTCTTTGCAGATTGTAAGCATCCCAAGACAGTGGACGATTTTCTCAGATCAACTCCTTCAAAGGTTCCATTCTTCTCTACTTCTGTTTTTCATACTCTTGTCTTATGTTAAGAAACTAAAGAAGATTTAAGATTAAGATTTTTCAATTCTTGGATTTTCCCAACTCGCTGAAGCAATAAACTTGAGCTAGCTAGTTCAGCTAATATTCCTTGGATATTGATATATGTCTTGCTAATTATATTTTTATTTACTTTTCTCACATTTCTGAGGTGCCAGTTACGATCTTTCCAAGTTTTTTTCTTACTCTTTCTTTTTCTTTTCTTTTCTTTAAAATTTCTGGAAGCTTTTGAGCTCGGTTGATTCTCCAGGAATTCTTCCATTGGGTGACCAAAATAGGAGGTTCTTACAAAGATCCATTTTTCTTTTCAGTGCTGTTCCACTTTCTGTTTGTTATATAAATTCAGGGATCAATTTTCATATGCTGGATATTGCTACAGAGATCAGAAGTTGAAGAGAAGGGTGCCCACCCTATCTTCGGCTTCCCCAGATGGCAAACTCAAATTCAAGCACGACAGTGAGAATCAGAACCCAAACCTGGTTACTCCACCAAGTAATAATCCATTGAAATTGACGAAGGCATCAATCAAGTCAAGCGATGAGAAAAAGAGACTCATTGATGACACATCGCAGCACAACAAGGTGCCTTCACTGAGATCCACACTCTCAGCAAAGAATTTGTTTGCAGGGAGGCCTATCTTGAGCCAAATCACAGAATTCTGCAATGAACTGAAGAAATTAGCAACAAGAGGTAGAGAGAGAGAGAACGATGAAAATGTGAATGAGATTAAAAGTGAAGAGGGCGAGGAGAATCAAAAAGCAAACGAAGGGCCTCCGCCTGTTCAGCCTTCGGAACAGTCAGTTAAGGAAGAGAAAGAAAGGAAGCCGTTGCTTGAAGTGACCGGAAAATCTGAGGCAAGAAACAATAAACCGAAGCTGCAGAGAAAGAAGTAAATCTTAATCTCCCTCTTTATGCTTACTCAATAACTATGAAACATTGACACTGATACTTACACAGATATGTTGACATTTGCACCACACTTAAATCTCAATTATTTGAACTGTTCCATATAGTAATCCACTTCCATAGATAAATTACTATTCAGGTTTGTCCTTATTTTTTAGCTTGGCACAGTGACTGCAAAATTGTGTGTTGTTTCATCTCGCTCTGTATGACTGTACCCGTATCCATATGATTGCTTGGTAATTAGTATCTATGAAACATTGACTCTGACACGGATATGTGGCATAACTCACAAGCATCACTTGTATTCTGAACTTTTCATATAGTGATCTGCTTCCAGAGAAGAACACTGGTCAGATTTGTCCAACCCTTGGTACAGTGACTGCAAAATTCTCCATTGTCTCATCTCCCTCTGCATCTACATCCATATGTTTACTTGGTATCTATTAACTGTGACCCTTAACACAGATTAGTGTCATTAGCTGATTAGCATCACTTATTAATCTCAATTTTTTGAACTTTCCATTTAGTGATGGTCCTTTCATTGAAAAACGTTGTTCAGGTTTGTCCCTTCCTTTTTAGCTTGTCAAAATTCTCTTTAGTTTCCAGTAGTTACAGCTGTTTAAAACATATACAGTGCTCTGATCAAAGAATAATAGTTTTTTTCGTTAGCGCATTGGTGATGACAATTATCATAGATGAGTTCGCAGTCACAATCTTTTGATTGATGTACAACCACGTTTACATGATGAAAGAAGCTCAAATAGTCAGGCGTAAAACCATATATGAGCTTCTTTTTACAAGTTATTATATTCTGTAAATCATT